AACGCGCCATTACGTACTAGACATACGTATGCTAATTTTAAACCGGATGTACAAAGTATGTTCTTTGATGTCATTATTTAAAGACAGTATTGTCTGTGATATTTTTATGCAGCAATCGTTTGCAGGAATGACAAAAACTTACTGAAGGTGAATCCTGTCAACAATAGCGCACAGCTCTTCTAACCGTAACGAGCTGGTCTACTCGCAACCGGTTCATGGGTGTAAACATAATCATCTTATAATATATTTTTTCCTTTGAAAATTATACTTAAGGCAAGGGATAACTGAAATTCAATACAGACAAACGCAGCAAATATTTTCATATGAATGTAAGTAATAAACAGGTTTAATTTTTTTATTTATTTTTTATTTATTAAATCCTAGTTATCAGAAAATAAAGCATTAGTTATATGACAAAAGCGATTATTATCCTCTTAAATAAAGTGAGATTATGCCCATATTTAGTGAATGAAAAGGTAAAAATTATTCAAAGTTTACTTTTGACATAATTGTCATCTATTCTATAGTTTACTACGCATTAAAGATAAATAACTCAATACAGCAAGGAAATTTTTATAGATATCCATTGGAATTAACCTATTATGTTAAAATCATAAAATGCGTCCACAGACTTTTATCTTTAAGGCAAATCTATATTTTATCCTAATTATTTTTTTCAAATATTGGCCAATCTGCATAATAATAGTTAATCTTTTGAAATATATAGTCAGCTTTATTCAGCTATTCTTTACACTGTACAAATGAGCATAATGCCACTTTTATTTTGATATTTTACCCTACAGAACGTCTTTTCTGACTGATCGTTTCTGATGAAGTTAACTTTTAGCTTGATATTTTTTGTCTTAAACCTATAAATTGTGGTACAACTACGACTGAGTTAAATTAAATTATAAACAATACTGCAATGGCTTCAGACTTAATCATCATAATCATAAAGTAATCTATCACTAAGATGCAAGCATTTCAGATTGTAAAAATATTTTGCATTGCATGCAATAAATGTCTTATATAATGTATATAATAGTGTTATTGAAACATACCTGTAGCCAGTTCATAGTCAATGTTCACGACTAAAAACAAGAAAAAAGAACAATAAAACATTAAACATTCAACCTTTACCCCTGTCACTTTTTGAAATTATGATCAGATAATGTTCAGAAAACATAATCTGCAGGGAAAATATACATGCATCATTTATTCATTCATGTCATACATAAAAGTTAATACTGTACTAATGTAACGCAATAAACGTATTAAGAAATTTCTTAAAATATTACTTGTGTTTCTTGTCTCAGTTTCAGTTTTAATAATTGGTTTTAGTATTTATAATCGTTACTGATCAAGTGAACGAAATGAGGAAATAACTAACAAAAATCCGTGTTTTGTTTGACCTTTCTTTAACTGAGACTACGTTGGAAATATACAGTGTAGAATGTGTATAAAACATGATAGTTAAAGAAATCCTGTGTCCGCCCGCATGACTCAAAACCAAGGTATCGCTGGTTCGACCCTTGAATGAGGCGGAATTTTTTCCGTTACACTTTATCTCGAAAATTAAGATTAATTGGTAATTTGTCTCTCCCGCTCATTCAGAAATAATATGAAATAATGAGTAGGTCACTTAAAAAAAAAATGGTTATTACAAATTAGTTTTTCTTGAAAGCAAAACGTAACCAAAGTTGTATTATAAAATCCATACAAAATACAAATTCACTATAACTAGACTAACTTTACCAAAAGGCAACATAAGCATAATATATGTTTTATTTGATTTGCCATTTGGTAACCTTTTGGAATTGATATATGACACCAAAAAAATAAAATAAAAGGCTCTTTGAGAAATAAAAATAAAAGCATTGCTCAGGCATGATGGGCCTTTAAAAATAATGCATACATAATAAGTTAAACTGGCCGAAAACTCTTAGAAAATTGTAACATTATATCTTAAATGAGTTTTGATATTGTCACATAACTTGATAAAGAGACGTACCTTTAGGCTTATAAAAGCACGTATCTCCTTCAATCCAATAATAACTCACATTCACTGTTGAAACGTCAAATTTGGGGCAGTTCATAACTGGATCCTGTCAAAATGTAAAGATATGATGTGTTCGCGGCAGGTACATCGTCTACTTTATAAATGGCAATTATGACATTTTACATGTCATAATTATAAACCGTATAAATAATAAACAAAAACAAAAAACAGACGAAAATTTCAAGCGTGTATTGCTAGATCATGATTTGAAAATAGTGCAAACCCTTTCACTGCCATAGGGACGGCATATGCCGTCCCTGTTATTTTCGGCATATTTGCCATATGGACGACTTTAGCCGTTTCTATAATAATAGTAGTAATAATAATAAATCAATTATAATAATAATAAAAACAAGGGTGTCATAGTCACAAAATACGCCCGTTTACGAAAGCTTTAGGTGGAGATGGGGGCATTATGGATCTATAAAAGTAACATTAAAATTCCTCCATGCATGTAGAAAATATGCTCCGGACAACATCTGGATATTTAATCATCTCCAGTGACCTTGACCTTGCAAATATTAACCTAAATTAAATGTGTCACACCTGTAGTCATGATAGTTACCATTTGTGCTACAATCCATCAATAAATGATGACTAAATGGTCCCTATAACCATCTTCAAATTTTTTATCTGAACTTTGACCTCAATGTGTAACCTTGACTTTGGTCGCAGGGATCTGAATTTTGCATGCGACACTCAGCCTCACAATGGTGAACATTTTGTGCCAAGTTATATTGAAATCCCCTATGAATGTAGAAGTTTTGCTCCGGACAAGCGTTTTTCAATGAGCTCTAAGTGTGACCTTGACCTTTGACCTGGAGACCTGGATCATGCATGGAGCAATACATATCATGGTGGTGAACATTTCCATAAAGTATTATAAAAATTCTTCCATACATGTAGGAGATATGCTCCAGACAAAATCTGGATATTTCACCATCTTTAGTGACCTTGACCTTGCATATATTGACCTAAAGTACATGTGTCACAGCCGTAGTCACTATAATGACCATTTGTGTTACAATCCCTCAATAAATGATGATTAAATCGTCCCTATACACATCTTCATATTTTTATCTTTTTTTAAACGGGCGTATAAAAAGTACATGTAATTGTAATTTAATAACTAAAAAATTCTGATTTAAGATTTTATTCTAGGGAAATACATGTCATTACAATTCTTAATATTTGAATGAGCTGAACTGATATTTACTTGAAAATTAAAATATAATTAAATTTCTATGAGAAAGTATTTACATTTGATAAGGTAATTACTGTATGATCTTTATGAACAAATACCAAGTCTACAGAACACCATAGTTATCACAGTTAAGAATCTTGACCAATGAATGAAACATGTGTAAATAAATGTTACATTCTTTAGAACATACTCAAGTCCAAGAAAGAGGATTATTTCATGCCTTTTGATTAAATTCTATTTTTAGAATTGAAAGTGAAAGTAGATCAAGGGGAGTAATTGTGTAAGTCATTTATGAACAAAGTAATAACTTTGTTGCCGCCCTTTGATTAAATTCTATTTACAAAATCTGGATATTTCATCATCTTTAGTGACCTTGACCTTGTATATATTGACCTAAATTATAAGTATCACAGCCATAGTCTTGATAATGACCATTTGTGTTACAATCCCTCAATAAATGATGACTAAATGGTCCATATACACATCTTCGTATTTTTATCTGAAATTTTACCTCTATGTGTGACCTTGACCTTGGCCGCAAGGACCTGAATCTTGCACGCGACACTCCGCCTCACAATGGTGAACATTTGTGCCAAGTAATATTGAAATCCCTCTATACATGTGGAAGTTTTGCTCCGGACAAGCATTTTTCAATGAGCTCTAAGTGTGACCTTGACCTTTGACCTAGAGACCTGGTTCATGTGCGCGACACTGCTCCTCATAGTGGTGAACATTTCTATGAAGTTTCATTAAAATCCCTCCATACATGTAGGAGATATGCTCCGGACAAAAATTGGACGCCGCCCGCCCGCCCGCCCGCCAGGGGCGTTCCCATAATACGTCCGTTTTTCAAACGGGCGTATAATAATAATAAATATAAAGAAAATTATACCATCGACAATAATTATTATTATACTCACAGATTTGGAAACATGTAATTATTATAATACTTATAACAAATAATAATAATTATATTAATTAATAATATAGTAATTTCTTAGAAAACCCTCTGGCAAATACGTAATCAATAAAACAATAACCCTCTGGCAGCGAAAGGGTTAAGAACAAAACTAAAGACATGATCATGAATTCAAAAAGGTGTGCACCAGTATTTTACAGTTATACTTGAATAATAACAACACTATGTAGTACTTCTATTACTATGAAATTTTCAATTATATTAAATTAATTAATCACTTATTTCTAAATGTTGCAAAACAGAAAGACAAAATAAAACATTGCCTTTCGAACATGGAAATCAGTTTCCAACATTCTGAATGTTACGCTTGTATGAATATTTCCCATGTCAGTAAAATTTCTTCTTTTGCATGTCGAAATGTTAATCAACTTTTAGACCTCCCTTGAATGGAATGAAATAGTCATACATTTTGACAGTAGTACACACTCAAACATTGACATACTTTGAAAGCAAGAAAATAAAACCATTAATCCATGAATAAAACATACTTATTTAATTGGATGTCAACGATTAATACTGGAAAATGAAAAGCATCCTATGTCATCAAGCCTAATCGTCTTCTCATGATAATATGTGATATAGAGTGATATCATGTAACATTCAATGAAATCAACCATATAGACCCTTTATTATAAGCAATAAGCGTCGATGAAGAGTAACTTCCCTTACCGGATGTGATGTAAATTTGGGATTGTTCTATACAGAGCGCTTCTAATGTTAGATAATTATTTCTACATTAATTTTCCTTTGAAAGTCCGCACTTTCAGCACCTTTACTATAGCTGTTTTTTATTTGACAATACTTAAGAGAAGACCCGAATCAAAAAATAATTCATATTTTAACACACAAACCGTCTTCTATTACTACAATATTAGGAACTTGACCATCCAGTATAAATTCATAAGAGGAAGACATGCTCGACTCTTCGAATCCTAGGAAATAAAAGAAACAAGAATCAATGTGTTAATGTTTAACATATATTTAGATATATATCTTATTTACAAAAAAAGACTAAAAATATATGAACATTTTTAAATAAGCAATTAGTGGTGTTTTGATAAACGTCTATAAAGGATAGGTCACAAGGGAGCAATTAAAAAAGAAATAGAAGAACATGACAGACCTGATTCAATGAAGTCCGCCAATGCAAAATAATGGCACGTGTAATTTCTCACCTTCCTGATTGCACCTGATTTATGAGAATTCATTCTTCTTATATATACCTGTAGGACATGATGGCCCAGCTTTAAAAATGCTGTAAGTTCCTGGAATCCATTGTCCTTGGTCAAGAGTGCTATCATTTCTATACTTCACACAAAAAGGGAACACTACCTTTCCTATGTTAACATTGCTTTTAAACCATCCCCGAGACTCTGACTCTGGGCAGCCATATATGGTCGGTGGTAATGAGTACGGCCCTGGCGGCCACACGCTTTGTTTTTCTTGCCTTTCTATGAACAAAACGTAATGCACAAATCAATTTTAATAACAATTTTCTATTAAAAATAAATATATATAGAAAGCATATATTCTGAACAAGTTGTCTATATACACTGTTAGTCTTTAAAAAATTTAAAACATCAAAATTTGTAAACGGCAAATGTAAGATTTTCCCATCGTATATGCTCGTATATGCTACCTTAAGCCATGTTTGGTGGTTTTCGTTTGATGTTCGTATAACCCAAAAGCTATGAAAGGTATACAATCTCTATATCGTCACAAAGGGGTTGCTGACTTTAAATCTTTTAATTTAAAAGCTAATTTTGGTCGTTCGGCCACCAAAATAAGAACAGGAGTCGATATGAAAGCCATTTTAATAAACAAATGAAGCTTTTTCCTGTTTGGATTTTACATGAAATTTATTAAATTGCAGCTTTTGATCTGATGTGGAAATGCACAAATACTGTTTTCAGCTGACCCACCCCCCTTGCATGGTCATATGTTTGTTTTTGTTTTTTTAATTTAAAGTTTGAGCACGTATATGACTCGCATCGTTTTTTTTTTGTAAGAAGTCTTCTATTAAAATTCAGTTATTTCAAAATATCAAGTTGACATCGGATAGCAAAAATGGTGCCATAGGTTTGAGTTGTTTTTGTAAATGAAATTGGAAGTTTATCTATTATATATTATATAGGCTGATAGGACAATTATTTCGTAATGAAACAGTTATTGTTTAACAAACACAAATACAAATATTTCAATATCATTAAAGTTTTTCAAGATTTACTAGAGGTATTATAAAAGTGTTTGTAAAATGCTGATACACAAAATGGTACAAAAATGATAGACTTATTTCCATAAACATATACGAGGGGTGATCCAAAAATTCGTGGACAATGTGTGTATCTCCATAACGTGACGTCCTACCGAGGTGAACTCTTTGGATATTATTAATCAATGCTTTTTTAATAAATTGACCAAATTTTAAAACACAAATTGCATTTTTTATCTATATATGACAACATAAAAACATTAAGTATCAAAATCGCGGCGCAGCTTACTTTTTCTCTGTGATGTAAACGTTTTCATCTCATTTAAACACATGTAAAACCTGTGCAAACAAAGAAAATTGCGGAAACGTTATAATAACGTTGTTTTGATGTGTATGACGGCATTCTGTCAGTATTAGAAGACATTTTGAAGTTGCGGTTATTTTACGCTCGTGCTTTAAAGGACAGGTGCTAAAAACAGCTTTATCAAAAATGTACGTCACGGATCCAGCAAAACTTCGGACAGTTATACAGATCTGTGTAAATCTTGGAAAGACGCCTGTCGAGACAAAAACAATGATCGAAAGTGTGACAAATAAACCGTCAGTGTGTCGTTCTTGGAGCAGAAGTACTCAGTCATTCACCATATTCGCCTGATCTTTCCCCGTGTGACCTCGCCTTGTTTCCCAGGTTAAAGAAAGAGTTGAGAGGGAAACGTTTTGACAATCTGGACGAGTTGAGAGGAGCCACCCAATGCATACTGTCATCATTCAGCCAAGAATGGTATGCGAGTACATTTAGAGACTCGTTCCGCCGCTATGAAAAATGTGTGCGAGTTAAAGGGGAATACTTTGAAAAGTTATCAGGCAAAACGGTAACATAGATTACTTCCTATGATAGCATAACGTCGTTTGTGACGTTGTGAGCTGCGCCGCGTTTTGTCATGTCTATGTATATAAACTGGTGCAAAATCGTTTATTCTTGTACAATCTTTACAATATTTTGAGAATTTGTCGACATATGCTCACTTAATAAGATACTAGAATTTCATATGATTTGCTTTATTACTTTTTGTTTTATGCAGCGTGTCCACGAATTTTTGGATCACCCCTCGTATTATACGTGTTGTATAATCCCTTTGATGCTATAGAAATGTATATGCCATTTATTTGTATGATAGTAAACTGCTGATAAATATCACATGTTATTTCTACCAGTCATTTGCTGGAAAGTGTCAATGAATAACAAAACTCATACACATTCAAATATCACAAATATATGTAATTTCACTTATTAAAGTGTATAAAGCTAGATATTTACTGCTTAACTTATTTTGCAAAATGCATTAGTAATAACCTGCCTAAAACATTTTATTTCATTATCATACAATAGTCTTGTATGTTTATAAATAGAGGCATACTACGTCGTAACGTTTAATTTTCGATAATCGAACAGATTTTTGAAACATCATTATCTTATCGTTAGGTATTCTTTTAAAATATTTGATAAGATATAGCTTAATACCCTTTAACTTCTTACTAATTTATCTGAATACAAACGTGTGTTTCTGTGGAAATCATGTAATAATCAAAGGGCTGCATGCTCTGTAGTATTTTTTTTATCTTTCCTGTATAAGTTTATTTTTATATACTATTATTCATCTTACGCAGCGACTGCGTTTAACAGTTTGTGATTGATACATATGGAATTTTGCATGCTTAGAGTTGCATCAAAAACCATTTTTCATTTTTTATTACAGCCACACTTTATCCTTGCATATCGTTGCAACTTCCTTAAAAAAGACACTTAAAAAACATGTTGCCTCGACAAGGATTTTAACCTTAGGCCTCTCACACCCTAAACGAGCGCGCTACCTCTGCACCACAGTGAAGTAATACGTATGTAGCGGGAATAAAAACAAATATATTGTAATTCTAAAATTGAGAATTTTCATTTCATATTTGTACTCCTTATTAATATGGAGGTATTTTGCTCACGATAAACCTGTTGTTAAACACTGATGAAAATAATTTAGCGAAAATCTTCTCGCCAAAACAGTCCGACATGTATATATTCCATTACTCGACAGTCAGATTTATTTGTGTACTACGCTCTGGAGTATTCGGTAATCGACATAGCTAAAATAGCATTTTCATTGATTAAGCTTTACGGAAATAATCGAACATTTTTCATTGGGTAAAAAAGATATTCATCCGCGAATTTTGTGATTGTAACCTCATATTTTTATTGACTAATATAAACTTTTAATGCACTGTAATTCGTTAAATGCTTACATTAAAAATTATTCTTTCTTTTAAATTGCTGGTTTTTAAGCAGTTTTGAGTGAGAACTACTTTGCGTTGTTAGGTCTGTAAGGAAATTGTGTGTTAGACCGTGGATGTTAGCTATGTATTTACTGATCTTGCGATCAGAAAATACAACAAAAAGAGAAATCTTTACATACCTTTACTGAAATTTAGTTTTTCACACGTTACTCGGTTCGTACCATGTTCAAAACATCTTGAGTATTGGTACTCCGTTGGTTTATAAACTACTTTAGGTTGTAGAGATACTGAAATAGCACAAATGAAGGCAACATATTTTAGTACAGAAATTTCGGATAGTGCAGATTTCGGACACAACATAGATCTAACAAATGTCAATAATAATTGTGTAGTTGTCAAGCTATAAAACTAATTTCATTGTTATAATTAGTTAAGTATCTTCTTTTGTAGACCTTTCAATGAAGTTGCTACAGTATCTAGGTGAAAGACAAGTGTTAATAATGTGAAATCAACATGGCAACATTATGTTAACCAACAGCACAGTGCTGTAATGGGAATGCAAATGAAACTGGAGCACTGTTGTTTGGTGAAGCATGTACATGAATGCGAAATGAGCATCTTTAGATCCAATTTGGTGCATCACATGAAAAGAGGATTGTAAACAAAGGACAAGTAATTTGTGCAGACAGGTGAGTTTGAAATATGGACAGTTTTAAAGTTCACTTCACCCCTCTTTCTGATTAAAGCACCACACCTCCCTAATTGGTTATATGTTGCTATGTGCTTTACACAAATTAAGGTGGGACATGTGAAATGCAATCAATTATGGTGATTAAAATATTCATTGTTGTAACTTATTTCTTGTTATATAATAAGTATGGACCAAATCAAAATATTGTAGGGATATTACTTTTCCCCTAATATATTTATATGGTATTAATGATAATCAGTTAAGTACTTTAAATTTTTTTCTAAAATATAACTATCACATTAAAACTTCAAAATAAGTTTGACTATCTAAAATAACTTATTTTGTATTAGTCATTTAAAGTGGGTGACCTACTATCTTAGATGAGATATCTCTTTCACCCCTCTTTTGTTCTAACATTGATACTGGGAAATACATGTATGTCCCAGTTTGACAGTAGATTGATAGTTATGTTGAAAATCACACATAATATTTTTTATCAACAATTATAAAGCAGATTTTTCTTTATTTTTATGTCACATTGATACTTAAAATTGTCTTTCATGTAATGTTTCAGAAAATGATGTAATATATCAAAGTTCCATGTTGCAAGTTAACTTGTCAGTGTTAAAAATATTGAAAATTGCCTTGAGTTAAACATTCCATAAAAAATACTTAAAAAAAGAAAATAATTAAACAAACAAAAGGTTTATTTGTTGATGAAATATTTATTCTAGAAATAATCAGGGATGATGGGTGAAGTGTCTTAATGATTTTGGGATGTGAAGTGTCATCAGATGTTAAGTGTCTTGTTTCCACATTTAAACAAGTACTATTGTTATATATTGTAGTAATGTTAGATTTGTGGGAATCATTATCATATTTACTCATAGGTTTGTTAAAGTTTATGTAGATATTATCGTAGTAGGCTTCTTTTCAGGTATCACTTGATTTTCTTTTATACATGTAAATGCTATATAGAGTCTATGAAATTGTAGCTGAATTTTTATCTGATTCTCCTTACAGATATAAGGCAGCATGAATAGTTAATACTTGGTGGATCTGCTGATCAATGTGTTTGTAAAAGAGATGAGGCTGTATACCACCAGGGTTAGTAGTGACAAACTTATTTTAGAAACAGTATTATAAAAGTAAAATTGCCTTACACTGTCAGAAAACTGACAGTTATAGAAGAATATCAAAAACATTCAACAGCAAGAACCTATTTGAAAGCTCAGTGGCTGTGACTTGACAAATATTATTACAAAGACATACCGAATTATTGAATAAAAACTATTAACATTTAGTTATAAGGATTTCATTTGAATTATACATTTTCATATTTATCTGTTCTTGACATTTCATATGAGATAGTTTGTAAAAAAATATTGTATCAAATTACAATGTTTATTATTTGATTTTAAGTCAGTTTATTCTCTGCAATGTTTCAGAATACTGCTGAATGATGGAAGGTTTACAGCTAATCAATCCTATGATTGGAATCAATATCCAGGGACAGCTCTCCCTTAAAGGGGCCAAGTGTTGTGACCCTGTTATTTGGCCAACAAAGGACATCAAAGTCCTAAAGATAGTTATGAAGAAAGTTATATAGACTATTAAACATTTCATCAATTTATATTGAATAAAGTACATTATGTATAATTTAATACATTCCATAATAACTTTGTTTCTACATGCACAAGAATAAAAATAACACTTGAGTATGGTCACAAAGGGATAGTCAGTGATCTACAATTATTATCCTGAATGCATGTAAGAAGCTTTATTTGAATGCTTTTTTATTAATGATTAATAAAAACATATACATAGGTTAAGGTCTATAAGTTGTTTCTGAGTGTATACATGTACATGTTTGTACTGACTGTATATTCACTTTGTCTTAAGTGTCAAAACTATAGCTATTAATGTATGTTAAAATCAAATATTCATATTTCTTGAAGTGATAACTTTACTGAATCATTCTTTTGAATAACATTATGAAATGTTTGATTCATGTTCAAAACTTGAAAGGAATACGCAGCAAAATGATGTTCTTCTCTGTATTCAATTTGATTACAGTGACTTTACAAAAACAAAGATATATGTGCTACAATTCATCTGAAAGTAAATAACATGAGATAAATCAAAGTATCATATGTGTATATATTGATATTTATTGATTTATTGTTACTTGAATGCATTAAAAATTGTTGGGATGAATATTAAAAACGCAAAGAAAATAACACTAAAGGGACAATAATGAAAATAAACAATCTTAATGTAAAGCTGTGAAACTTTCTATAGAATTCCCTGGAAGTGACATTTTATATTTAATGTGCTAATTTATTATTTGTCTTAACTGCTCTTGTCTGAATAGTGTCTTTTCGTTCAGCTCGACATTATTGTTGTGCTTGTAAATTAATAGTTTCAACTTTTTGGCATTTTCTAGTTGGGTGGTTCCAATATTCCTACTTGAATAATGTTGAATCAACCTTAGGATATGTTGCCTGCTTTTTAAATTTGTCTTTTGACGTCTTATCTGTGATACGCAGGCTTCATAACCTCTGATCCCCTTTCAAAATAAAATTCCATTTCATTTAGTTCCGCCCATTGTTTTCTCGTTTAGGGCACACTCTTTTCTTTACTTGGGGACCATATGCCGCTTTTCATGGAATGGCACTACTGTGTCAGATTGAAGGTTCCATGATAACCGCCGTATGAACTCATCTGCGGATGTTTCTAAACTCAAAATTTTACTATTTCATGTTGAATTCTGCTTAAGACGGTGCTAGGGGGCATGGACGGTAACTTGCACTTTCCAGTACCGTCCATGAACAGGCTCAATCAAACCGAGCCTTCAATATTTTCATATTTGCCGTGTTGGGCTTTCTTTAGGGATTCTGTATTTATCTATTCTATTAACTGCTCTTGTCTGAATAATACCCTGTGTCTGTTAAAACATATTGTTTTTATAATGTTATCTAGTTTCAAGATTGTTTTCTAGCAGATATGTATATCAATTCTAAACAGGTATTATTAAAAATTAATATGAATCATGTCATTTCAATGTCATAATTTTCTTTGCAATATGTATTCATTGTCATACTGGAATAATAATAAAAGACTTTGTAACATTCGAACACTAACTGTTCTGTAAATACTTTTACAAATAAGCCAGCCATATTGTTTTCAACTTTTCCTTAATCTTAGCTGAAACTGCTAAAAAATTATTCTAATGTTTGCAAATGTTGTTTAGCATTTCACCTCAGAGCCCTGTGCATATATTTTGTGTGCCACCTGTAACTTATTCAATGTCATGAACGCATAAACATGTTGAACCTTGATGGGTGTCTCTGTATTCAAGCATCAACAACGCTTTGTTCGAAGTAAACACTAGCTTTGCTTTGGAAGCCTTTTGCTTTACTCACACAGTTAGGACAAGATTCTTTTCAGTTGACAGATCATAATGATGTATACTATCACTTTCTTTGACTTTAAGTCAGAATATTCTCATAAATACAGGGATGTAAGGGATATATTTACATAGTCATTGGTGATATTTGATTGTATCCTTGGATGACCAGAATTACGCTACCGCTTTTATTAGAAATAATGTGCCTAACATGCAGAAGGGATTTAAATTTTGACATCGTCTATAACATGTTTTGTAGACGGATCTATGTCCTCCTTTTTGATGCATGTCTATGTTTTGATCCGCAAATAAGTATCTATTTGTCTCACGGATTTATATAAATCCTTCAATGATTTACTGTTTCTTTTTTTTAATAAAGATCAATATAGAATGTGTCCCATGTATTTTTTTAATCTTCTACAAGAAAAGAAATCGCATTCTAACACAAAAAACTTATCGTGTACTCTACTTTATGTAGTTAATTTGGAAAACAAAGTAAACCCTCGGAAGCATTAATCACAACAAAATTACATAAAAATTGCAGGCTCGGTTTGATCGAGTCTGTACATGAGGGATAATGAATACGTGAAACATCCCTCACGCCCTTAAATGTATTTAAATGTACAATTTGATCCTCCCCCATACTTTGCCGTTATCAAAGCTACTTCGACGAGGCATACACGGTATTCAGTTTATGCATAGTTTTTTTTGTATAGTATATATATGAGATTTTTTCAAAAATCGTTATTTCTTTGTTTTGGATAGAATTTCGGGGTCCTGTGGTTCATGCAGTCGTGTTTACATTGACAGGTGCGCGGGAAATCACGTGACCCGGAAACGTACTTTCGACTATATGGTAACAATATACGGTCGTACCGACCGAAAATAGTCTTAGCTGCGACTGAGGGCGTACGACCGTGTTCATAAAATGGCCATGAGTAAATCGTATTCTCGGTCTTAAGTATCGGTCGCAGTTACGACAGTCTTTGTTGATAAAACTGCACCCAGAACTTTAACTCAGGACCAGCTGCCGGTATCCTGAATAATGAAAAGGGTAGTGACCCTACGATGTAGGCAGAGACGGCGACAGAATGGTGTGCTAGTGTACGTGGACCCCTAGTAAAGATAGACGGTTTGTAAGGCAGGCCCTTTGCTGGGCACCAACAGCCCTTGTCAGGCCTACCTCC